ACTTGAGAGTTCTGGGTATGTCATGTAGAAGGATGTATTCAAACGAAACATTTTGACATTGATCATTGCAGTAATATGGAATAACAATACAAGCACTAATTCGGCAAAAATACATAAGGACCTCTTCAGCAAAGTACAGTGAATGTTAAGCCTGTGCTTAAAAATAAAATATATGATTACATGTTTTACTAAATAGGAAAGGGATTTCTTAAGTGCTAGATTTGGAGCCATAATACTTTACAGTTCTATGACATCTTGCATTCAAATAATTTAAAACACTTTACAAATAGTAAAGATACAAGTCCTCACAACAACTCTCTGTGCTCCATTTTATAGACTGGAAACTGTGCCACATGTGATATCTGCATTGCAAACAAAACAAAAAACAAAATAAAAAAAAAGCATGTGTCTACCCTTGGATGGACACATTTTAAATAACTATCTTGGTATAAAATCTTACTGGAGATAAGGCACAGGTGCATTTTAACTTTAATGCAGCCTGTCAAGGCCAAAACTATGTCTTCACTTGGATTTACTTTGACTAGCTACATTGAAGTATAAAGTAATGTCTTGTCTCTGCTGAAAGTTTATATCCAGATGACTTCATCAATGTAAACATGCGTCTATTTTTTTGCACCAAAGATATAACCATAAAGAGGGTAAGTGTCTTATCCAAGTTTTCATACATGTACTATGTGGAGAACCAGAAAGAGAATATCAGTCTTCTAACTTCTTTGTCTGAACCTTAAACAAAAATAACCTCTTTATCTTGATCAACTGTTTCATAGGAGAAGAACATGTATAGAACCTTACCAAATTCACAGCCATGAAAAATGCATCATGCACCATGAAATCTGGACACACACGTACACACACACACATACCTACATCATGAAATCTGGTCTTTTGTGTGCTATACTGTACAGACATCACAGGGAAGACCAGCATTTCTCAAAAGTCTGTCACAAAAGGGGAGTTGCAAGGATCTAACTGAGCAATTTTAGGGGGGTCAGTCATTGCTACCCTTACTTCTGTGCTCTCTTCAGACCTGGGCAGCCAGAGAGTGGCAACTAGGAGTGCCAGCAGCCTTGCTGGGCCCTGAACAAGGTGAGGATGCTCCGTATTCCTGGAAGGGGCAGGGCCTCAGGAGGAAGGGGCAGGTCTGGGTGCAGTTAGATTTTAGGGCTGCCTGGAGTGTACCACATCATTGATTTATTTTGAGTTTTGGTCCCATCTAGAGATTGGTTTTCTGGGTGCTGAGCTCTTATAGGTGAGACCTCCTGGAACTGAACTGGTTCAAAGTCTGTGTTTCTCCACAGGGAGGTGGTGACCCCAAATCTGTGCCTTCTCTGGGGGAGACCTGAGGATCTGGCCCCAGCAGGACAGGGTGGTGTGGAGCC